ACTGGCAGGTAGCGTGGTGGTTAGGGATGCTGGACTCTCACATAGCTGACCGAAGTTTGAGTCCTGGACCTGGCGGCTTGCTTTTTCACTTTCTCTCTCTTTCTGTCCCTCTCTGATTAAATTAAAATAAATAAATAAAGTTAAATAAAATAATTCTTTAAAAAATTACATTATCGGGGCCAGCAAGTGGCATGGTGGTTAAGGTGCTGGACTCCTCCATGGCCAAGCATGGTTAAGTCCCAGATCTGGCAGCTTGCTTTCTCACTTTGCCCTTCTCTCTCCCTGATCAAATTAAAAAATAATAACAAATGGGGACCAGCAGTTGGTGTAATGGCTATGTCGCTAGACTCCCATGTGGTCGACTGTGGTTCAAGTCCTGGACCCGCTGGCTTAAAGTCACGCTGGGCGTGTGTGCATGCGTGCCCAAGATCCTGAGAGAATGGAGGAGAAGGGAGTGCAGCATGGCCATCCCCCCTTGGGGGTGATTTCTCGCTTTCTATCTCTGTCTTTCTGGTGAATGCACATGCCCTATAGCAAAAACCTCTCAAAAAAACTTTTTAAAAAAAGTATATAATAATTATGGGAACCAGTAGTTAGTGTAATGGCTATGTCGCTGGACTCCCACGTAGTCGACCGTGGTTCGAGTCCGGGACCCGGTGGCTTAAACTCACGCCGGGTGCATGTGCGTGCGTGCCCAAGATCCCGAGAGGAGAATGGAGGAGAAGGGATTGCAGCATGGCCATCCCCCCTTGGGGGTGATTTCTCGCTTTCTATCTCTGTCTTTCTGGTGAATGCACATGCCCTATAGCGAAAACTTCTCCCAAAAAAAAATAATAATAATTTTAAAAGTATAAATAATTATTACATTATTAAGCGTTTGGATTAAATGTATTCTTTAAAGAATATTGACTTGTCCTGGCATGCTGTTAATTTATTGGTAGATCAACTTGATCCTTTTGAGACTGAAGTGGGTCTAGAGTAACTTTACTTTGTGGTTAGTTCACTCCTGCTCCTTATGCATGGCTCTTCTGGAGTATCATCCGATCACACCAAGTGTTTGTAGAGTTCTCTGTATTGTGGCTATTCGGAATGCAAATGTATACCAGTTGCTGTGTATTCTAGTGATTTTTCAGCTTGTATTGCTCTCATACTTATTCTTTGTCTGGTTTTATAGTTTCATTTTATGTATGTACAACTTAGAATTCAGCTGAAGACTCAGAGGAACCCCTGTGTAGGTTATTGTAGCTCCTTCTCTCTGGTACCTTGCACCCATGAAAACCAGCTAATTCATCTGTGGACTGTGCTCAGAAGGACCGCAATGTTCTTGGGTTCCTTTCCCTGTGTGGTAGTGATCACAGGGCTCATCTCATTTGTTTCTTTTTAAGGAATTACAGTCTTGCTTTAACTGTTGTCCTGTATTAAAAAATAGTTTGTAAAATTTGGTTCAGTATTTTAGGTTTTACTTGTAAGTGCTAATCTGATATAATTTATTTCAGCATGGCCAAAAGCGGAAGTCAGACATCCAGTTTTGTTTTTTTCTTGATTTGCCAGAGGGTGCATGTGCTTACCAGGGGGAGATAGAAAGCACCTCCCATGGGACATGATCATGCCATAATCCCTTCTCCTCTATTTCTCCCTCTTTTTGGGATTGTGGGCATGCACACATGTGTCCAGTGTGTTTTACAAGATATCAGACTGCACCATTGGCTATGTGAGATCCATCCACCGGAATCACCAAGCCAGTTTGGTTCAGACATCCAGTTTTATTTTGTTTAATTTTTTTAAACATTATTTAATTTTATTTATTGTTATTTTTAAATTCAATAAGAGATACAGAGAGAATGAGCAGGAAAGTGAGAAAGCAAGCTGCCAGGTCCAGGACTCAAACTATAGCCACCCATGTGGGAGTCCAGCCTCTTAAACACCATGCCACCTGTCAGCCCCTGTGTTTGTTTTGTTTTCAGAATTATTTGTTTAATCTTTCTTCCTTCCTTCCTTCCTTCCTTCCTTCCTTCCTTCCTTTCTCTCTCTCTCTCTTTTTCTTTCTTTCTTTCAGAAAGAAAATTTTGCTATAGGACACATGTGCTTGCCGGAGAGACAGCGCCAGAAAGCAAGAAATCACATCCCTCCCCTGCAGCCTCCAGGGTTGGCCATGCTGCAATCCCTTTTCTTTCTTTCTTTCTTTTTTTTTTTTAGAGAGGTTTTTGCTATATAGGGCACGTGTGCTCACCAAACAGAGACAGAGAGACAGAAAGCCAGAAATCACCCCCAGGGGGGATGGCCACGCCGTAATCCCTTCTCCTCCTGGGATCTTGGGCACGCATGCACACGCGCCTGGCATGAGTTTAAGCCACTGGGTCTGGGATGCGAATCGCGGTCGACTACATGGGAGTCCATAGACATAGCCATTATGCTAACTGCTGGTCCATGCAATCCCTTTTCCATTCTCTGGGATTTTGGGCACACACACACCTGGCATAAGTTTCAAGCTCTTGAGTCCAGGACTCAAATCGTGATTGACCATGTGAGAGTCCAGCGCCTTAACCACTACACTACCTGCTGGCCTCATTATTGTTATTTTTAAATTTGCTACAGGGCATGTGGTCCACCAGAGAGAGACAGAGACAGGAAGGGGAAGTGAGAAAGCAAGCTGTGAGGTCTGGGACTCAAACCATTGTCGGCCATGTCAGAGTCCAGTGCCTCACCCACCATGCCTTAAATGATAACTTTTTTTTTTTTTTTTTTTGGCTATAGAGCACTTGCACTCACCAGAGAGACACACAGACAAACTGAGAAATCACCCTCCTGGGGGGGTGGCCACGCTGCAGTCTCTTATCTATTTTCATCTTGGGATTTTGGGCACACAAGTACGTGTGCCTGGTGTGAGTCTCTTAAGCCATCAAGTCTGGAACTCAACCTGCTGTCGGCCATGTGGGAGTCCAGCACCTTAACCACTATGCCAACTGTGGCCCTAAAATGATGGCTTTTTGAAAACAAATGAAAAACCTGATTGATAGTTAACTGTGTTTATTACAAATTATTTTTAAAAATAATTATTTATTAAATTTTATTTTTTATTATTTATTTATTTATTTTGGAGAGGTTTTTGCTATAGGGTACGTGCACTCGCCAGCCAGACAGAGAGAGACAGAAAGCGAGAAATCACCCCCCGGAGGGGATGGCCACGTCGCAATCCCTTCTCCTCCATTCTCCTCTTGGGATCTTGGGCACACACGCACATGGTGCCTGGCGTGCGTTTAAGCCACTGGGTCCGGGACTTGAACCGCGTGGTCAACTATGTGGGAGTCCAGCAACATAGCCATTACTATGGTCCCTATTTTTTATTATTTTTAAAAATTGCTATAGGGCACATGCACTTACCAGAGAGAGACAGAGCTGGGGGCAAGGAAGGGGGCTAGGGAAGGTGAAAAAGCAGTTTGCCAGGTCGGCACTCCAACTGTGGTAGGCCATGTCAGAGTCCAGCACCTTAACTACCATGCTACCTGCTGGCCCTTAGAAATTATTTTTATAATTGCTAACAGAAACTGAGATTTAATATTAAAAAAGTGAAAATGAGGCTACACTGTAAGGTTTGCCTCTCACATCTGTCCCCCCATTACCTTGGTTTACTCCCAAGAATCAGCCAGTGTCACATAAAGAACATCCTCCTGGGCCAGCCAAGTGATTGTGTTGAAGGTGCTGGATCCCACATGGCTAACTACATGGTTCGGGCCCTGTACCTAGTTGCTTGAAAAACCTGCTGCTCACATATGCGTGCTGAGAGGAGAATGGAAGAAAAGGGATTGTGGTGTGGCCATCTCCCTGGGAAGTGATTTCTCACTTTCCCTCTCTGTTTCTGTCTCTCTCACTCTGGTGGCCACATGCACCTTATCGCAAAAATCTCCAAAAAAAAGAAAAATCCTCCTTTTAGGTCAGCCCAGTGGCCTAATGGTTGGGAGTCCAGGTGGCTTGAAAAACACGCTGGGCACATGCGCATTTGTGCTTAAAATTCCAATAGGATGGAGAGATGGAGAAGAAGGGATTGTGGCATGACCGTGCCCCATCAGGGGTGCTTTCTCCCTCTCTTTCTCTGTCTTTTTCTGGCGAGTGCATATTCCCTCAGGCAATTAAAATAACAAAAGAATGGGGCCAGGAGATGGCATTAGTGGTTATGTCACTGACTCCCGCATGGCTGACCTTGGTTCTAGTCCCAGTGATTGAAACTTATGCCGGGTGTGTGCCCTAGATTCTGAGAAGGGATTGTGGTGTGGCCATCCAATGTGGGGGGTGATTTCTCACTTTCCCTCTCAGTGTCTCTCCCTACACCCCTCAAGCGCATGCACCCTAAGGCAAAAACCTCTTAAAAAAAAAAAGAAAGAAAAGAAAAAAGAACATCCTCTCGTAAAGGCTGTATAATATTCCTTTTAAAGGATGTATCATAATTTATTTAATTCCTTCTTAGTAGACACTGGGGAAGTTAATGTGCTGTTAAGAATAGTGAGTATGTGTGCAATACCATTGTTTCAGATAGAAGTATGTCCTTGTCAGTGAGCAGCTATCTTTCACGGTTTTATTTATCCAGTTACAAATTAGACCTTTCAAATGAAATGCTCTGAGTAGGTGCTCATAACAGTGTTGTCTGTAGTTCCTTCCAAATACCAAACTGTAAAAATAGGTCCATTTATTATTATTATTATTTTCTTTTAGAGGGGTCTTTGCTGTAGGGTGCATGCGCTTGCCAGAGAGACAGAAAGCGAGAAATCACCCTCCGGGGGAATGGCCACGCAGTCCCTTCTCCTCCATTCTCCTCTCGGGATCTTGGGCACACACGCACATGCGCCCGGCGTGAGTTTAAGCCACCGAGTCCGGAACTCAAACCACGGTCGACTACATGGGAGTCCAGCGACATAGCCATTACGCTAACTGCTGGTCCCAAAATAGATCAATTTAAAGTCATGGTTTGAATGCATAGCTCATAAGGATCTGTTTTTATTCTTTCAGGCCATAATGCAACAAGGAGACACATCCATAAAACCCATCCTCCAAGTCATTGTAAGTACCAGCATGTTTTTCCCTGTTGAACATTGTTTAGAATCCTGTGTCATTATATATTACGCTTGATGAAGTACACATTTGTCCACTTGAGGAAAAATAGGCCCATCCACATTGCAATCCCGAGAGAGGAGCCAGGTTTTATTTTATTTCTAAAAACATCATGTTAGGGCCAGCAGGTGGCATGGTGGTTAAGGTGCAAGATTCCCACATGGCTGACTGTGGCTTGAGTCCGGAACTCGGCAGCTTAAAACTCATGCCAGACGTGTGTGCGTCTGTGCCCAAAATCCTGAGAGGAGAATGGAGGAGAAGGGAATGCGGCATGGCCATCTTCCCTTGGGGGGTGATTTCTCGCTTTCTCTCTGTGCTGAGAGCACACACGCCTTATAGCAAAAATCACTCAAAACATTGTGTGAGCTAACGTTAAAGCTTTGGAGGTTCATGTGGGAGGCTTTGCCGCTCCACTCTTTGTCGTAGTGGACAGATGACTCTAGCACTGTGAGGGCTGAACATCATTTCAGCTGCCTCCTTGCTTGCCTTCCTGCCGTCTGGTTTGTCTTGCTCCAATCTTCCTTGCATACTGCCTCCAGATGGGTATGTCCAGACCGAACTTGTCTGCTTAAAGCTCTTGAATTAACCCATCATTCATTTGAGGGGTTCTCAAACTTGAGTGTGAATTTCAAAAGTCAGAAGCAGAACCCTGGATCATATCTGCACATTTTGAATCCGTGGGTCTGATAGTTTCCTTGCCACTCCTGGACTAGTTGTCACTCAAGCATCTTAAGGTTCTGGTTGTCTCTTCTTTCAGAAAACTGCTTCTGATCTCCAGGTCTGGATGTGTCTCTGTTCTGCCCCAGATAATTCTGTGCAACTTTGCTTCAGACTTTGCCTCCATCTCCATTGTAATTGTAAGCCCCTGTGGGGCAAGAATGATTATTTTTTTAAGATAATAATTTAATTTATGTTTTTCATTATTTTTAAAAGAGTTTTTTTGACATAGGATGCATGCATTTGCCAGAGAGAGAGGCAGAGATAGTGAGAGGGAAAGTGAGAAGTCACCCCCCCAGGGGTTTGGCCATGCTGCAGTCCCTTCTCTTCCATTCTCCTCCTGGGATATTGGGTATGCTCGCACATGTGCCTGGCGTGAGTTTTAAGGCACTGGGACTGGGACTTGAACCACAGTTAGTCATGTGGGAATCTAGCAACATAACCACTACACCTTCTGCTGGCCTGCTCAATTTTATTAATTATTATTATTATTATTTTTTTAAAATTTGACTGGAGAGATACTGAGAGAGAGAGAGTGAAAGTGAAAAAGCAAGTCACCAGGTCCAGGACTTGAAACACAGTCAGTCTTGTGGGAGTCCAGCGCCTTAACCACAATGCCACATGCTGGCCCCCTCCCCCAGTTTTTTTTTTTTTAATTAGTATTTTTTAGCATGTTTCCTACCAACTACCTTACATAGGGTAGGTACCTTATCTGTTTTTTCAGTCATTGGTTTTCAGCCGAATTTCTATTAGGGGGGATAGGATAGCATTGGCATCTCATTTTACGCTGGTCTGTATTGTTCTCAATAATGTTAGTGGTGAGAAGTTAGTGAGAGAACCATCAAATCCAGTTTTTTACTTGAATGTTGGTGTCAAGAGAATGGGCAAGCAGTTCTGTCGGTGCTGAACTAATGGCAGACCCACTCTCCTGCCACTTAGGTTTACTTATTCCCGGAGACTGAGCAGACCCCCTGGCTAATGAATCATTTTCTGTCCTAGAACATCCGTCCCATCACTACAGGGAATAGTCCACCCCGTTATCGACTGCTCATGAGTGATGGATTGAACACGCTGTCCTGTAAGTATGGTGTATAAATCTAGGAGTTTGTGAATATTTAAATAATAAAAGCACACCTAACACTTTGATGGCAGTGATTTGGGGCATTAAAAAAACATTTGCTTGGCTCTGCACTTCATTCAGATAGATTACAACTGGCAGAGCGCATTCTAACAATAGATTGGATATAGTGGAAAGCTGCCACTTGGCTTAATTAATTTTCTCTAACTGGTGCTCTATGTTTTCTTTGATTAATTTCCCTAAGGATGATATTGACATTTAGTGAGTATGATGGGTTGGCTGTCTTATACTTGCCTTTTGGGTAGCTATATTTCTGTGTTGGAAACTTTAAAACAGAAAGGAGAGAATGTACCAAGTATGTGCTTGCTGTCTCTAGTAACGATGTGAAGAACCTAGAAGAGATGCTTTTAGTCTTTGTTAAGACTAATGGTGGAAAAAATCATTTTAGACACTTTAAATAAAAATGCATTTGGGGGACCAGCAGATGGTGTAATGGTTACATTACTGGACTCCCACATAATCGACCACAGTTCGAGTCCCGGACCTGGTAGCTTAAACTCAAACTGGGCGCATGTGCATGCATGCGTGCCCAAAATCACGAGAGGAGAATAGAGGAGAAGGGATTGTGATGTGGTCATCCCTGCTAGGAGGTGACTTCTCATTTTCTGTCCCTTTCTCTCTCTGGCAGGCACATGTACCCATAGCAAAAAATCTCTCTCTTGAAAAATAAATAAATAAATAAATAAATAAGAAGTATGCACTTGGGTCACCTGGTGGCCTGGTGATTAAGGTGGCTGAATCCCACATGGCCAACCATGCAGTTCAAGTCCTAGACCTAATGACTTGAAAAACATGTGAGGCACTTGTGTTTATATGCCCAAAATCCTAAAAGAGGGAGAAATGGAAGGGAAGGGACTGCAGCATGACCGTTCCCCAA